GGTGAGAAGAACAGAATTCGAGATTTCGGTCATGGTGTTCTGTTCTCCTGGTGGTTTGTGAACATCAAAGAACCACGTAGGAGCAGTGCCACGTAGGTTCTTTGACATCTGGAACCATCACGACCTACTGCTGGGATCAAGTCAGACCCAGGAGTGAATTCCACGGTGACTTCGAACGATGGTGCTCTCTTGCTCTGTGAGAACGATCTCATGCGGCCAAGGTCACTTTACATGTTAATAGGGTATAATAGGGTCTCTATAACTAACCCTAGGGATCCAGTCGTACCCTCTCAGGTTCGGTACGACTGGACCCTGCAAACCTACATAGCAGTGCCTCCGTCCTCACCGTACCTGAGAAGGCACGACTGGATCCCTAGGTAATCAATGGACCTGCAGTGCTCAATGGACCCAAGAAATCAGTTTGCTTGCACCGAACAGCAAGTGTGTGACAACAAATCCTCGATGAGGGTAAACCTGTGTGACACCAAGCAGCTAAAACAGAGAGGGTAAACCTGAATACCAAGCAGCTAAACAGCACGATCACATTGAAATTGTTCTTGTCGTGCCAAACAATTAAAAGTCAGCAACACCCAGTATAAAGAAACGGATGTCACTATTCTTTTCCCCCTCTCCCTTTAGTAGGAGTAGCGGTACTTGTTATACTAGCGCATGGATTACCTATATAACTACTGAGAGCGCAATCATTGTCATGAGGAATTCACCCTATACGGCTACAAGTTGCCTACACTACACAAACGCGCGGTCTGGGGGGGAGTGCTGCGCGAGACTCAGGTAACCACCTACCCAGTTCCCGCCTCTTGAACATTGTAATATATGTATGAACGAAGGGGTTCTGTTCTTGATTCTCTAAATTAATCGGTTGTTCTTGATGCAATCCAGCAAGTAGACTCTATCTGACCCCTATGGAAACGCAAAAAGGAAAACATAACGACTTGACACAAGACCAAACGACTTAGCACAACAACATGTAATTATCCCAGTTGTGCTCCTGCATAGTGACATCATTGAGATCCCTTTGAAAAAAACAACACCCCGATGTAAAAGCTCCAGTCCCATGTTTCGCCTGTGGCTCTGCCCTTCGCGACCCAAACGCCACCAGTCAACACGTTCCCGCTGCCTCCAGCAGTCGAGCCGTCTCAGGCGCTTCAGGGTCCGTCTCCATTGGGTGAGCGCCCCACCGGTGCGGTGCGGCCGCTTGGAGCGTGGAGAAAAGCGGAGGTTGAGCGCCCCACCGCGCCGTCTGATCGTAGCTGATGGGTTCTGCTTCTCACTGTCTTCTTGATTCTTTTTCAATGCTCAAGCTAGCATTATTATGTGACCACTATACACATCACGTCACAGATCTGTGACCTTTTGTACTGAAGATGACCTAGCATCACTAATGATGTTACACATCACTACACATCACTGATGCTAAGATGACCTGAATGGTTTCTGATACCCATGTTTTTCTGAAGACTTTGATGTTGTTGAAAGGCAGGTTCCATGGAACGAACCGCGAGCGAACGCCCGACTCATCGAACCACCCCTTTGAGCAGCTACTGGCAGCATCGAAAGTCAAATCACAGGAAGCTCGTTCCTTTTCTTCAGCTCAAAGATGGCCGTATCGACAAAGCGTTGACATCACCGAGGGTTCGCTCGGCAAACGCCCTTTTCCATCGGAGGAAGGATCCCGTCGCATCGTCGCTCACCTCCGCAACGCGATTTCAGTGAGGGCGCCGCGCTGAAGCGATCATCCCAAAACGATAGAAACATGATGAAACATGCATCCAAATCTGGTGCAGAACAATTGAACAGCCACTTTCTCCTAAATTTCATGACATCAATGGTGTTGCTATTCCTATCCGCAATGGACAGCAAACAGTACGTCCAGCATTCCGGTGTAGCATGGTTCGGCCTTGCCGACCTTAGCTGTAAATGAAACTCAAGTATTTTTTTTTTGACACAGCTGTGCATTCTCCTTCATTCCTCTTGCAGACCTTTGCTGTCTCTACCATGACATCTTATGCGTATTCCTTTGAATTCGTTCTGCCTTTTTGGGGGGAAGGCAGCCCCACCTGGCCCACCAGCGCCGCACCGCGCCGCGCCGCCTCGCTCGTGAACCCGCGGCCTGTCGCGAGGCATCGAAGCTACCAGCCGCGGCAAATCGGCCAGGTATGGAGCACCGTGCAGCGGTCCTCGTCCAAGATGTAGATCCTCGGAACCGTGCCGCTGGCACGACCGGGTCGTAGAAGGTCGATATACCCAGAGCACCCTACTCAGTGGCCACGATGTGGCGCGTGTGATTTGGTTGGGTGTTTCTTTGTGTTGCGGTGATGTTGCTTAGTGAGTAGCATTATATATGTCTGCCAGTTGAATCAAATAGCTCAACAGTCCGCTATCGAAAGAAGCAAAACAAGTGACCGTCAAGTGACGACATCTCTCTCACGTTCTCCAATTCACCCGCAAGTGGTTGCTGTCTTAGTAATGCTCCTCCAACGTGGGACACCCACGAACAAACCGAACGCGAAGTTGAGACCCGACACCTACGTCACCTCGGACGCGCCTGTGGAAGTGACTTGTCAATACCTGAAATCCGTCCAGGCCGTGGGGATAGTCGATTTAGATGCCGTGAACAAACTTGCCACCCTGTGACCTTCCACACTGGCGGATGCTTGCTTGAATGGATGGGGCATCTCATTCAAATGCTCCAAAGTTTCGTCTTGAGGAAGATACAGTGCATTTTCGGGTGATCAATTGATCAATGCACCTAAGAGCATCCCAAACCGCGGTATAAATCAATCATGCTATGCCATGCCTACATTTTGATGGGTGTACCGTCAATCTTAGGTCCAGACGTCACTGGCGACATTCGTTCGCCGCCGCTTGCAACATCCGATGGAACGAAACATATGACACCGCCATCGCCATCCCTCCATGCTGAACGTTGTCCCTATCCAAAGAACATGCAATTTTAGCACGATACTGACAATACTGTAGCCTTCTGTGTGTGTCTGATTGTGTCTGTATAATTACTCACTTTTCTAGGTCGTTTTAGTCCTACTCCTTTCCAAGTTGGCCAGTGCGTCCCAGACACTTGTCATGTTGCTTTGTGTGGGCACAGGAATGATAGGGCTCCAGCCGCAAGAGTGTTCCTCGGTCGTTGGTCGCATCAACGATGTGAAGACAGGGGACCTAAGCCGAAGGAGCAATAACCATAAGAAAACATGAAACGCATCGATCTTCCGTCACCTCTTTGCCCGACCCAGAGGTCCCTAAGCTGAAACTGGTGAGGGAATGATTGGAATGCTCAAATCGTTTGATCACATCCTTCATGTGCCTCATCACTTGTATAATTCTAGATATAGGCACTACACTAAGCGCTACTATAGGTCGGCCCATGTCGACGTCAGTGTTTTAAACAAATCCAACTTATACTAGTAGCGTCCTTGCTCCTAGTAGCGAGGCCAGGAGCCCCTAGTAGCTTCTTGTTACTACTAGTAAGGCACTTGTTCCTAGTAGCGATGCACTTGTTACTCTATTTCAGGTTTTTCCTTTCAGATCTTCCAACACTCCCGACCCCGCGCCGCACCTAGCGGGAACTGCGCGAAGTCAATCGGGGAACCATCTCTGCTGGAGATCAAACCGGCCTGCATCGCATCGGTCGAAAGCTGTGCCGACTCGCCAACTCGGGTCCGAGGGTGATGGACTTCAGTGGCGACTCCAGTGGTCCTCCATAACCAGGACACATGCGAAACATGGAGGATCACACGGAGATCGCTTCGGTGGACCTTGAGAGGTGAAGAAATCGGGAGAAATGGTCCATGAAACTCTGAGATCTGGTTGACATACGAGCTCCTTCACTCTCCAGATCGCCTCCTGCTTCAGGCCCACCACCTTGAGCTCCGGATGCCCCTGACGCCGGGACCCAACATGCGCAGGCGATCGCTGGGAGATCACTTGGGATGTTTCACATGGTTCTTTTCTCAAACAACTTTTGAGTGGAGAATTGCATGAAACTACATCATTTTCTCAAACATGAGCATCTGCGCCATTCTCTGCGCAGCATTGGCTGAAGTTTTTTCGAAAAGCCACTCTAGACAACACCCCTCAAATGTCCATAACTGTAGCAAATCTTCGTGATGCTCCAGAAGCTCAACGGTCCCAAGATGTTCTTCTTTGAGCTGCAGGATTACACAGAGTCGAGCACTCCACAGTCGCATGGGGACAAAGTTTCAATAGGTCTTGTTTCGCCAATCTCCATGTCGGTCCACTACTATGGCCACTTGAACTCCGAACGCCATAGGATCTCATGGGGCCGTGGCTGAAACGTGGCAGACGGTCGAACCCGATCTCAGTTGGAAAGAACACCTGCCGATGACTTCGACCATGGCGGATGCCTCGGCCGATCAAAACCGGATCCCGCCGGAACAACTAGCACGAAGAGACCATTCCGGAGAACTACCCCAAATACCATAATAAGTAATTATAGCACCAGGCTTTCTCTCCTCTCTCCTTTCCATTGAGTGCCCCTCACCTCCAACCGTCCAAAGTTCTGGTCTTCACCTTGCGGGGCAACATGCGCCAGCAATAAATATGAGGCAACATGTCGTGTGTCAAGGGCGGACATCGGCAGGCTTGATCAGTTGGATTGAAAAATATGTTCCTCTTACCCTGGTTAATAGTTACAGTTGATTGATGGTTTATGCTGGCAAGCGGAACATATTATACTTGGCTTCCTCAGTTGGGCTTCTGTGGCAGAATACAATCCGTCAGACTATCGCTAATCCATCCTAAACACTCAACAACGAATCAGTCATTAAATGCGACTTTGTAGGCTATCCACCAAAGGAGTTTCAAGATCTACTTCAAAAAGCGCCAAATACACGTGAGCCGATTATGTGTATTGTAACCGACCCTCAACCGGGTAGACCGGTCCATTTCCCTTCTTCCAGCGGGTCACTTCAAACAAGGAGACGGTGGTCACTTCCACCGGAACATCACAGCTTCTCCAGTCGGATGCACCGCGCCCACCCGAAAAAAAGCCGTCTCCGAAGCAAATGGAGCGTTTTTTCCCGACGTCCGTGGGAAGTGCTCCGAACATCTCCGAACTGTCCGAGCCCGCTCTTTGGTTCCTCCTTTCCGATCTGTCGATCCGTCTGTGAAACCAGGGCGGCCCAGGGGCCCTGCTTGGAGCACGCCGTCCAGCCCATGTCCACCAGCAGCAGGTTCCGTCGCTCATAGGCGCCGATGACGCGCGTCAACACGCGCACGGCAATGTCCTCCTCGCTGCAGGAGCCAAGCGCCTATGACAAGAGCACGACATCTGGTTGGGCTGGGAAAACAGACGAAAACATAAAGAACACAACATATAGATGCGCTATGTTGCAAAACTTAAAGGACTGCGAACAAAGAATGTGTTTGATAAATGTAATATTTAATGTATACCATGTTTTAAAGATCATAGATGATCATAGTGGATGTGCGAACAGGACTGCGAACAGGGAGATGTTAAGGAGGTGTTTGGGCTTGTGGCGTGTGATGGGCGCCATTTCCCACTATTCAACAATCATAGCATGATTGTCGTAGGATGTTGTAGGCTTTCGGGCAGCACCTGTTCAACCATGTTCAACCGTGTGCTAGCGGCGCTCGTTTGGCTCAGCACAGCCATAAATATCCTAGTTTTTTGGGGTATTTTTGGTCAAGCTGACAACTCCATGAAGCATGCGAACCCGGTTCTTACGAGGAACTGGAACACACGATGGGTTTTGAGGATTTTGTCCGGCATCTGACGATTTCTGCGGTTCGAAGCAAATTGGCATTAGGGGGGGTGTCGGGATCACGGTCCTGCAGTGGAGCATTTAGGACTCAAGACTAGATATATAGTCTATACCTTGCTGGATCAAAAAGGCAAAGTCGATGTTGAGGACTTGATCAATGAGCAAAAACCAATGGGCACAATTCGCGCTGCGCCTTGCTTCAACCAACGCACATCTTTCAGCCGCAAAGAGATTCGCTTCGGTGACAGTTTGATTGCTTGAAAGGTTCTCACAGCATCTGTAGAGCCCAGCAGTTCTGTTTGTCTCCTAGTGAAAACAAGCGGAACTGAAGTGAAGTGGCAAACTCGTAAGCACGACCCTGGCATCCACTCTCCACATCGGTAAGACTTCAGGCCACTATAGAACCCTTGCTACAATAATATGCGAGTGATGACAGCCACCCCTTGCAACAGGTTGCAAATGTGCACAGCTACCCTTGGCAGCACTATGATGCACTATGTGCTGTGGCTGCGGCTCAACCTCCTACAGCTGCAGTGCTTAAGCACTGCATGCTGTGCATGCTGATGTGAGGGTGAGAGCCCTAGAAGTCTCACACTTGTTACCCACCAGGTAGTCTCGTGATGTTGTGCTGTGATAGTGCAGAAGGTAGACCGGTTGCTATGAACGCAGCAGTAGCCTGCCGAATGGGATGGGACCACAGCGTCAAATGATTGGAATGTGGCAGGTCAAAACATGTTAACATGTTGGTGTTAAGAAAGGAACACCCTGCAAGTGAGGGGCGAACTATGATGAACTATGTACCGTAGCGACCGTAGCAAACAATTCTCTCATACCGTCTCATACTCCTTTGCGGCTGGTCTCCTCGGCAACTAGGCAACTCCCCTCTCAGTCATTCCTTGAAACCGTGCTTTCAGCAAAGAGCAGCTTTCTGTCAAGGAGAAACCGCTGTACTTTACGATTTTGACGAGTGTCATAATCACAATTATCTCTGTGACCAGAAATTGGAAGCGGCATGCCTTTAGGCTGCACTTCGTTTTTCACAACACGACAATCCCTAACATTGGTCCACCGTACTTGTCTCCGGCTCTTTTGGACGTTCGGCTGATGTGGACATCACGACGTCGCCAACACGTGACTTCCAGAGGATGAGTCCCATTGACGGGTACCCAAGGGCAACGCCCCGCGACGCCCGGCCTGTTGCATGGTGTCATAGTAGATGTAATTCCCCGGATGCATCTCGGTCACTTCTGACGGGAACTGGTTCGGAGGGTTGGAGCAGGTGGGCGTCGAGCCCACACCCACAATGGGCACCTGCAGAAGGGTTTCACATCGGGAATGGACCCCCTTCACGGGCCAAAGCATCTCCCAAAAGATGCTAATGTTGGATCCTGATTAGTAAAGGGCCCCCCCCCCTCCCCCCCTCCCTCAAACAAAGAGGGGACCTTCTATAATAAACTACCACCAAATCTGGATTCCTGTGAGGATTCCTTTTGTAATTAATTGTAGTATTCATTTTCCTTTTTCATAGACTGTATATCAGCAAATGAATCATAATCATTGGCCTCAAGAGCTAAGTAAAGGAAGATTCCATGAGCAGGTTTTTTTTTCCAGTGGAAAAAACTTTTCACAATTGAGAACCACTAAAACAAATCCATTATTGACGATCAGGTGCCTTCCTGGTCTACTACCTTGAAAATTTGTTTAGGAGCAATGTTTTGTAAAGGGTTTAATTAGGAATTGGTGGTTTTGGAAAGCTGTCAGTTTTGAAGAAACCTAGAGAAACCTATATCAGCTAATAAATCCTAATCATTGGCCTCAGGAGCTAAGTAAAGGAAGATTCCATGAGCAGTTTTTGTCCAGTGGAAAAACCTTTTCACAATTGAGAACCACTAACACAAATCTATTATTGATGATCAGGTGCCTTCCTGGTCTACTACCTTGAACATTTGTTGAGGAGCAATGTTTTATAAAGGGTTTAATTAGGAATTGGTGGTTTTGGAAAGCTGTCAGTTTTGAAGAAACCTAGAGAAACCTATATCAGCTAATGAATCATAATCATTGGCCTCAGAAGGGATTCAATCCCAAAAAATATTTAAGCAGTATTCAGGACCACTTTTTTCAAACATGGGGTCTGGAAAAAGTTTGGAAACATTTATTGCGGACCGGTTTACTAATCGTCGTCCAACATTAAAGTGGTCCTGACTTCATTCCTCCAGACACATGGTGAACTCGGCTCCTCACCTCTATGGCATGCCAGGCCTCTTGCTTACCAGGGATGGGTTTGGAATCACAACCTTTGCAAAGCCGATTGGGTCAACTGTGACAACAAACATCTCACACATTCTCACACTCGGTGCGTTGTAGCTTCATTCTCGTTCCATTCTTCCTTCCGCTCTGCTTGTCAGGGCGGTACATGGGGGGGTACACTTGAAACACCGTAGTAATTAATTAGTATAGGCGTTGCATGGCAAAGCTCATCGCTCCCTGCCGTCCACTGTCCATGTCGTCGACCGAGCCTCCAAGCAGTACGGCTTCCCCCGCAGCGTCCGTGCGAAGGCGGCGACGGCCTGGGGGTGAACCCAGGATCGTCGAAGCGCCACAAGAGACCAAACACATCGTTGGACTTCCACGAGGTGTATAGACACCCCCCATTCACCTCATGAAGGGTGGGCTATGAATGGACACCTGGAATCCATGCTGGTGGTTGGTGCATTTTTTCTGATATCTGTCTGACATCAATTGTCAATCCATGATTCATGCTCCCAAGCTGCTCCAAGTCGCCCCACCTTCTTCACCGCGCTTTCCATGAACACATCTGGAGGTCTGCAAGTGATTCTTTTGGAATTTTGATTTGAGATAGAACCTTCCTTGGCAAAAACGCTGGGAAATTCGAGTGGCGAATCCAATCAATCCCTTCCAGCCCACACTGTAGACGTGGAAGCCCACCCATATATGGGTGTGTATTGGGATACGGAGACCTACCAGTTCGACCCCGTGGCAGAACGGAAATATGGGAAATAGACCAGTCTACCCAGGCAGGGCCAGGGGGTCTCCGTTACACACCCATACCATAGAACCTCTTCTTTTCGGGCAAACATCTTCTATACCTACTCTATGTGTGGAGCCAGGTGCCTTGGTCCGTAGCTCAATGAACTTGAAGGCCGCGCGGGCACGCGGGCTCAGCTGGTCGCTGTGGAACACAGCTTCTTCCACCCCGCCTCGGCCTCCTGCTGCGCCACCGCGCGGACCGCCTCGATCCCCTGCGACCGATACGCCGCGGAAGGTTGCAAGGACAGGGCGGTGGATACGTCGTCGTCATGCTCGATAGAAACAAGCTTCCAACACCATGAACACACTCAACATAGTCTGTAGATATCTATAGTCTATAGATGTCTATAGTTTGTTGGTCAAATTCGGGGATTTGAGGCCCAAGATGGATTTTGAAACCACTCAGGCAGTTGGCCCGCCGGGCATTCTAGTGATTCAACATGCTTTCATCTCATCCCAGGCCACATCTTTTGCAGCTGTCAACCCAACCGCTCTGGGCGCCCTTAGCCGGTCCCCGCAGCACACCTGGGAAGCATCATAGGAGTGGCCTGAGGCAGATCTGCGGCGAGCTCGTGCGGAGCTCATGCGGAGCTCACCGTGGTGGATGGAACTCCTTGACCCAAACAACGTCCGAAGACGACCGGGGGATGATACTGGTGGATCATGTATAATAGTTGTTGCTTTTGATATACCTTGGGTTAATAGCCAAATACATATTCTGTTAGTCGACGGATTCGTTGGAAAACGTCAGTCGAATAACTTGCAATTGAGATAACCTGTCCTGTCAGTTCCTCGAAAAGGGTGCCCACCAAATTACGCCGCAGGAGGGTAACTATGGGAAGAATGTGGTTTAATCATGTTTTATTATTAAATGATATAGCCGGAAATGCCATCAGTACCTAATCAGCGTACCTGTGGACAATTCTGTTGCGTCCGAGCACGCCTTACGCAAGCGTTCTGAAGTGAGCTGGGTCTTTGTTGACAATTTTGATTCGTTGATATTCTTTGGCACGTCTGAGACATCGTTTTTCTTGTACAGCAGCTGTTGCTGAACCTTTTGTTCCACTCACCAGTCCTTTGCTTTGAGACACCCCATCCACAGCCAATCAGCTCTAAGAACTCTGGCAACTCCACGGCCTCGGAGGCCTACTGAACCTGGTTTTCCGCGTGACCTCTGCCACCCGGACCAGCCCAGCGGTAGGAGCAAAACCAACTGTCAAAATCACCCATGTGTGCGCCAGAATTAGACACACAAAGAGCTCCGAGGCAGGCATTGGCAGCTGTACGGTCTGGCCGGTAGCCTAGGTCCTTCAAAGTCTTAAAAAGAAAAAAACATGTTCATCCCCCAAAGAAAGTCGTTCAATAAACTCACCTGGCACCTGGCACCATACTCCCCCCATTCCCGCCACGGGCGCCCATTCTTTTGCAACAAAAAGAACACCTGCACCCTTCAAAGTATCCTAGCAGAAGGGACATGACTCATGACCCTATTAAAGAAAAAAAACAGGTAAGATAGATCTATCTATACCCATTTTCGGAGGTACTTTGAGACCTTTGACACAACATGACACAACCCAACACAACACTCCATGTGTTTTTTGGTTCCCTCACCGGACTCAGTCCGTTTCTTCGCGGTGGCACCAAGCAAAACGTGAGCGCCTCCATGGGTGTAAAGCCCGGCCAGTCGCGTCCCCTTCGACGACGCCAAGCGCTGAGCCAGTTGCACACTCGTCGGGTCCTTCACGTCGACGCCTGGGTGGCGACCCCAACGGAGAGGGTGGCGGACCGGTGGTGACCACCGACACCGTTCGAGGTGTCTATACATAGCCTCTTAGTGGTTATAGGTGGTATCCTATAAACCACCGGACTTGGAAGGTCATGTACCATATCCTTTGGACTTTTTCGACTTTTCGATGCGCACAGTGCCTGTCGGCGCAGCGCCTTGCACAAAGGGGGTATATGTCCTTTAGGCCCATGGCTACAGGCTGGTGGATATCCCAAAAACTGGTCCAGCCGCTTCTGGCAACACAAGACCTGAGTCGTTGGGACCGTCAACGACAAGATCTGAGTACAATCAAGCCGAGGTAAGTCACGGTAAGTATGAAGCCTATGACTGTGAAGCCCAGCTATGTGCGTGGCAACACTTTCGGTACATTATAAGCTAATTATAGTATATCTACATACACGTTGGCAACACACAGGCGTTGCCAAGGACCTTTCACTCTCCCCGTTTTCCGCGCCCAGCGTCCGTCTCGGCCATAGCCACAGTCCACCATGAGAAACACGGACCAAGGCTTGTTGGCCTTCGATTGGCACAAAGCCTGGAGCAACGGAGCAGGGAGAAGACAGGACTCTCTGCTAGTCCCGAACAGCCACGTTTTTTTTTATGTGGTAGCTGAGGATGGCCATATTGAACACTTCTTGAGCAGCTTGTGGTAAATTGACTGACCTCACTTAAAAGGACCTCCAAATTCGAGGTTGGTTGGGAGGGAGATGAAGCAATCCGTTGACGGCATGCGACCGTGAATTCGACCCTTGAGGTTGGTCCAAGAGTTACACTCGATTAAGGTAAGAGAGCAGAACCACAGTTCGAGCTTCAATCCCAAAAAGAATCCCAACGATATGATTCGATTTAGTACAGCACTGGGATGCACTGGGGAAAAAAATAACCATTCTTCCAATCCACCCAGTCTCGGCTTGTGTCCCGAGTGGCTAAGAAAATACATATATCCCTCCATCTCCCACGGCTAGCACCGACATCGCCACCGACCTGTCCACACCTCGCCTCCACTGCCTGCGGATGGTCGACACACACGTGGAAGAGACATCGCTCGTGGAGCTGCGCAGCCCGCGGGAGCTTCTCCGCGGTGATGGGCACGGCGTAGCAAATGTCCTCTGGCGCCGTTCCAGCACGCCGCGACGGCGGCCGACGGTTCAATCCGCAGGTGTTGACATGGGACATGTATCCGGAAGGGTGAGGAGTTTTCGACGTGGCTTTTGGGTGGTTTTTGGGGAACAAAAAGAAGAAGATCGACGTCTTGGGCAGCGGAGAACACTGCAGCCAAGGGTTCTAAGTAAGTGATGGTGATGAATGGTGATGATGTGCTTTGAAGCAAAGCAGTTTTGCTTGTCAAATTGCATCTACTTGATATATATTAGACACTAGTTCAGCGTTCTGATGGTTTCTTCCGGTGTCTTCATGTTTTTTCCAAGACCACTGGTCAAAGGCTTCGCACCAGCTTCGCACCTTTCTCTACCCCATCGCCGGCACCTCGAAGCCGGCATCGGCGTAAAACTCCGCTTCCGCCAAGGTGGACACTGTGATGCAGCGCTTGGTGCCGTCCGTCGCAAGCACACCACCTGCTGGCGAAGGTGTTCAGGTTTTTTGAACATTTTTGCTGAGCAAATGTGGGCTGGTCATGCTTGCAATGGGCCAAAGAGAACATCAATGTTAATGCGCAAATAGCATGGCTTATGATTAAGTCTACCCACAAGCTCACGGACCCTCAAATTGCTACATGTTTGAGGTCCACAAACGGGTCGAAAGCCTAGCAAACTAAGGGCCCTGACGACTGAGCCCCCTGGGTAACAAGCAACTGAGTTCTGTCCACTTCCGTTCATGACCAAACGGTCATCCACCCTCTCTGTAGAAAAGAAACACCTCTGCCTCTCGCGGTCGCAACCTTCTGCCGCAAAGCAACCGGAGTAGCGGTCCACCGTGGTCCACTCCAACACGATGCATCGTCCGCATCGACGATCCAATACAACCCCCACCAGCTTCCAAAAGATGACCGGACATCAGCGTCAATGTCCGCCTGTTGGGTCTTCGTTTGGTACGGCATGTCATATTCTGTCATCCAAGTGTGATCTTCCGGTTTTGTGAGTCCACCTTGGATGGTTTTGTGGGTCTTCATGTGCGGCCGCAATTGACATCCCAGCTGTTTAGCCCGCTGCAGCATCCGCTCACCTCAGCCCGTGCCACGTCGTTCATGTCCGAGCCCTCCAAGAGTCCAAAGATCCATGAAAACGTTGTTTCAGTCCTTCCATTCATCATGTTTGTATATGTTTCTCCTTGTTTCAGTTCTTTGAAACACAGTCCTTCCTTTGCAACAATCAAGAACCCTTGGGGTGAACCAAGGGCTCCTTTGGATCGTTTGAGTATGGCAACTTTATTATAGGTCAGTTTCGAAACTGGAAAGAGCTAAGCTTTCTGACGGTCGGTACCTTCCCACATCGGATTTTGGTGAAAACGACTTCTGGTCCTCTTTGAGTCGAGGTGAAAACGACTTCGCCCATAACCGGCCCTGAAACCCCTCTTCGGAGCTGGGCGGCTATTGCGCTGGATCACCGACTTGTAACCGATGTAGCAGGGCGTCACCAACTCCGAAACATCCTCCGCAGCAAACGAACAGGGCATGGAATTTCCGGTAACGGATCTGTGTTGTTTCTATCTTTTTTGTTGTTTTTTTCTGGTGCCCTTGGTGTTTCATCAAGACCCCACGTAGGTCAAACACGTTGGTCGGCAAGCCGCATGGGTCGCATGGAATGCTCCTTAAAATGTCCTAAAAATCGTTCGGAAAAACCTCCCAGGAGATCCTTGGATTTGCTGGGCAACAAGTGATGAAACGACAAAGAGAAGGTTTCAAGAATTCGAGTTCGGATCACAGAGGTGGATGTTGTTTACAAACAATTTAGCAAAGTATTTAGCATACAGAACAGTCCTTACAGCAGGCCAAACCTGGAGGCTAGCCTCCCAAAGAAATGAGTTGCTGTTTTTTCGAGGTGACGGAAGTGCCAAAGGCTGGTGGGACAACCTGAACTGATTCAGATTCAGCTTAAGATAAGACTATGACACTGAGTATGACCTTTAACTTTAGACCTTGTTGGTGTCTTCACCGGGATCATTCTTTTTCAGTGGGGGGAACAGGGTTTTGATTTACACCATGCTTTGCCGCAGGAGCATACCCAAGAATTCTGAGATCAATGTACTTCAACATAGTTGAGCTACAGCCAAAACTTGCTAGGAACTCCCGTTCGCCTATAGAGTTGTAACGTTGCAACCCCTAAAATAATCCATCCTGATCATCGGTTTTCATCGGTTTGACGTTCCACGTCTTCGCGAAAAGTGCATCCGAGCGGGTCCTTGGGCGTGCTCTGGGCACCTCAGCGAACGAGCGTTTGGCGAACGCAAGCGCGACACGGAAGGAGCTCCAAAAAGCGAGGGAACAGACGGCCGCTTCACCCTAGAAGCCAACTATTACAGATGTCCTGGCACCCTGAATTGTAAGAATTCCTCATTTCCCCAAGGGAATTCGAGAGGCCATTGTGGTATAAAAGCAGATTTGATGTGAGCACTTGTTGTTTTAGGAGTCAAAAGATGCCATCGACCGACTTGACAAGGCTGACCAAGGCACTGATGCGTGGCTGCTTGCAGGGTGGCTCCATAGTGCACCATGGGAAGGGTGGGTAGCTTCAATGGCGGTCGACATGTCAACATACAAACATACATGTATACACCTTCTTTGGGGTGTCCAAAAAACTACATGTGGCTTCCATGAGACATGTCCACTCCGGTAATAGACCTCCTCCAAAACCCAGACATGGGGGAACAAAAAACACAACGATCTTCGCTCCGTCGACGTGGCCGAGCAACCGCAAGGGTCGGTCCGTGGCCGCAAGGGTTCGCTGAAGGCCCTGTTGATGTGTGGGTTGATTCATGCATTGCGTCTGGCATGTCCGGACTGTGACTGCATGCTGATTGCTGTTGATGGCGAACTTCCGAGCAGTGTGGGCCAATCCAACTGGCACGAAAGCAAGTAGGAAAGGTTCTAGTTCTAGTATGTTCTAGTTAAGACTTTGTGCCCAGCTACCGTCTATGAGTGATTGAAACAAAAAAGAAGACTATATATATATCATATAGAGGCGATTCAAGTTTAGATATCGCCTGGTTTTGGACATGTGTGTTTTCTTGTGAGGCCCTTGAGTCCAAGGCTGTTTGCACATCCTGCACATCCAATGGCGTGTCACTGTGATCGGTTTGCTCGCCTGAACATGCTGCATGTTGAAACACCTTGATTTCTCGAACGTGTCAACAAATCTCAGCCCGTACTCCCACCTGAGCGCCAAACCCGCTCTATTCTTTTGGTTCACAGCCCCATGTCTTTTCACCTCACAAGCTCATTATGTATATGATTAATGTGTGTGATGTGTTTCAGGCTGGCGCTCGCCGACCCTAATGCTTGGAGCATCAACCACCCCGTGGACCCCGTGGTTGGCCTGTAGCTTCTGTTCGGAATTGTTTCCTCCAGTCAATCCTACCAGTCATGTGCAGATCACATCCGCAAGATCTGCAGATCTCTTCCAACAGCTTAGTGGCGAACCAGATCGCAACATCACCAAAAAAACCACTTGTGTGGCGCAGATCCGTTTTTCTCCTCAAAGGCCTCTCCATCGGCCACAAAGATACGCAGCGCATGCAGCGCACTGCTGCAAGGCCTGCAAGAAGAAACTCCAAGGGATTGAGCTGCAACAACCTGGCGGGCGGTCGTTAGAGAGCAGCTGCTTGAGGATCGTTGGAATCGTTGGACCATGGAGAGCTGTTGTTTTCACCCACCTGCTTTGGAGGCCGTTGTTACAAGGCCTAGGTGGATAGGTGGGAAGAAACGCTTTCTTCTTAGAGGGAAGTCCTTTTCTGTGAGAGCTGTCTTACACGTCCATGCCTTCAGGCATGCGTGCACCTGTTTGTTTCCTCGTGACCTGTGGCACTAGCGTCGGGACCCCTTGTCGACAACAAACTGGGAAAGGCGGTGGCTGCGTGATGAAGTTGAAGCTTTGGCCTGGAAATCCTGAAGGACATGCCAAATCAGATCAAACATTCAGAGCCACTCAGCCACTCTTCAGTCGACTGGGGACCTTTGGATGGCCATGGTGCGGGAAATTCTGGAGATCAAAAGCAGCAAGCCGGCCAAAGCCGGTAAACATCTACAAAAATTATACGTAACTACGACATCAAAAGGCACAGTGGATTCATTCTTATCTTGGGACTGCATGAAGAAAAAAAAACACCGATGTGTGTATCTGTAATCCAGAAAGTACTATAGTACAACAATTTAAATATATTATGTGCGCAGCTAAAGAAGTGAACTAGATATCCAAACAATCGGTTCCTTCACAAATTAAAGAAACCATCGGTATCCGGTTTTCGCACCACGGGTCGTATCCAATTCTCGTCGGTTCGAGTGTAGCAGCCTGCGCAGCCGGCACGCCAAAAACGCCCGTCCGGTCCTCTTGGTGCTTCCTTTGAGAGGTTTTGCATCTCCACCGAGAATAGCGTGAAGCCAAAGCCCTGGAAGCGAAGGCGTAAACTGCCTTCCAACAAGCCTGCTTCCACGACCTGGCGGCCATGGATGCCACGGGTCCCACCTTCTCCCAACCCCCCAACATCCTACCCAGACACGACCTGTCGACTGCAGTTTGCTGACATTGACCTCTGAAACCATCTCAATGTAGGTATATATGCCATACATGGAGGGTCAGGGATCTAGGAGATCCACATACCGTATACCTTAGTTGAGAAGGTGATTAGCGACTCTTTGATGGCACCGGCGCCAAGGTCGGAACCTTAGGACTTAAGATCTGTTCTGAAATGGCACCGTGGCCGTGGTATTCATCGGTCCCACCTCCTCTCCCAATGACTCGACCCAAACGAAGACGGGTTGCTTTCGCGGCACTTGGACACTGTGGGAAAACGTGAACATGTGTCATGTTGAAAACACACGTACTTTTGCATCAAAAGAAGACATGTTCATCATGAGATAATTGTTTGAGGCATTGAATCATTTAACAGTTTCAATTGAACATTAATGTTCAAGTGAACATCTTCATCAAAGCTAATCATCTGATAATCGTGATAAGATCAGATCCACATAATTTTTTAAACATCTTCAAAGACGTACATGTCTTCCAATTTAGGACAAGCGCTCGCCTCACGAGTTTCATCGATTACGTCTATGCAAGCCTCGACGCAAGCTGCTTCCGAGAGTACCCAGATTTGGAACAAGATGCTTGTACCTTGAAATAAACCCAAAGAATGGGTGATGTATGAAGTGGTCATCACCCAGCACCAAGGTGTACCCTCAGGATGATTGAAACATCGAATCACTATTCTTTATTAATCAAAATCAATCCACCTCAAATGATGAGTTGCTAATTGCTCCATCTCGCTCTATTTTGAGTGCAAAATACCAAGTGCCATCGTCTTGGGTAAAAGACCCAAGAAGAGAATCCAAAAAAAAACAGAAAAAAAACTCACGAATTGGTCAACGGAACGCGTCACCTCCGGATATTCGGCAACATGTCCCGCGGAGGACCTCTCCGCGAGCTCCCGGAGTCAAGACGCGGCCACCGATGCGACGCAAAGGTCCGCAGTAGAAGAAGGTCTCACCCACGTCACAGCCCGCCGGCAACGGCCTCGGCAGTTCACGTGTTTCTCCGCCGGCAGTTCACGTGTTCCCCCGTGCCTTAAGGAGACTATAGAAGGCATATAGGCCAAAAAACACGTATCTTTTGGTCAAGAAAAACTGGAAAGAAGCTCACTCAAAAGACTTCCTCCACGCGCTCATCCTTTTCTCTGGCAAGCTGTTTTCGCCTGCGCCTCAAAGAAACACTGCTCTTGCGTTTCTTTCATGTCTGGGCAGCGAGCACAGGCTATAGTGCCATGCTGCACCAAAAATGCATCCCAATAGGGCTCACGTACAAACACTTGGGCAAATCACACTCTTCTTCTAAAAGTTGTTGCCTCGGGCAAACAGTCTCCTTCACTATAAGATCTCATGCCAGTTGCTTGTTCCTGATGGCCTATGCCGGTTCCTGCTTTTTTGAACACCGCTCCTCCTGGTTGAAGCGAGCTCGCTCTGGGATGCTGTGCTGCGTGCCGCCTTCGCCTGGAGAAGCAACTGAGCGTTGTAATCGTTGTAATCCGTTGTTACCAGCGACCTTGGCCACAGACTTCAGGTCTTCTCCAGCTACGTCTGGTGCCCAAACAGCTGCCGTCGTTTCAGAAGCGTCGGCCAAGGTCGGCTTCCACGGATTGGCGGAGGACGGCGCATGAACAACGGAGGTGGACGACTCAGGTGAGGTAGACGACGAAATGGCGCCTGAAGGCCCACCGAGAGGGAGACTTCAAAACGAACCTCTCTGGAAGGTTCGGGAAATAGACGAGTCTACCCAGCCAGGGCCAGGGATGCCAAGAGGTCCCGCCTTTTTGTAAAACACACCTCAGTGCGAACCGGATGCCACGGTGAAGAAGGCCAAAGCGGCAGCGCAGCATGGCGCCGTTGGGCGGTGGCATATCTGCTCACACCACACCGGAAAACCATGTAGCAAGGTTCTTCTTGCGCCTTGTCATGGCGGGTGGATGTGTGTTGGCATCGATCTTCCGCCGAAATCTGAAGCAAAGATCGATCACGACCTGAGCGTTTTTGAGCCGAAACAGGCATCTCACCTCATCTCACCTGACCGAAGCAGGGGGCCTTCGAAAACCAGCTGCACCCCCCCGGAGCTTGCTCCGGTCGGAGTCGGAGACCGCGCGAGCTGGCTGGGCCCAGAAAGAGCGTGAGTTGCTTTGCTGACCCTTCTCTCCGACTTGCGGAGATATGGCAGGCCCATAGCCCTTGCAAAAAGAACAGCAACAATTGAGAGTTTAGGATCTCTGAGCCACACCGAAGAGAAATGTACCAGGACCATCCGTGGGTGTCCTGGCATATCCGTTGGTGGTGGGATGGGGTAGTTTCTTGTTGGAGACGCCAGACGGTTGGTCCAGGTACCAGTTACTCCCCAGAAAATATGGAACCTAAAAGCCACTGGTTTGCGGAGGAAGCTAGTCTTCCACAGGTCCATTTTCAGGTTCCCTGCTAATTTTGCCGGGTATAAGGTGTTGTGTTGTGCTGTGTGTGTGAAAGAACACAGGATACCACAGCTGGAACCATCTCTCTCTTGCTCTTCAGGCGGCTTTTCCATCCGAAACCCTGCGGCGTTTCGCCCAAAACAACATACATGCCGGAGAAACTCAAGTATACAGCCCTATACTCCTAGTAAATCAAGTAAGGCCGGGACAGGTTTCCACCGACTCCACGTCGCACCGGGGCAAGGGCACCACCGGACCGGTCGGCAGCGACCGGACCGGATGGGATGGCCAGGGAGGCCCGGAAGACCATTGGAAGGTTGAACTCACCTCCAAAACCCATTGGGAGATACCTTGACCGACCTTGACCCGATGGGTGTTCCATACATCGCGCCTTTTTTTTGTTCTTTACACATACGCTAAGAATTAAGCACGTTGCTCATGACCAGCGCTTGACTGGCCCGAACAACTCACTACACAAATCCGGCTTGACAAAAGGTGAAACGCGACCCAAGAAACCTGTTTTTGATGCAGGGAAGTCTGG